GCCCAGTACCTGGCGAGCCCGGTCCATGCTGGCCCGCAAGGCCAGTTCCATCTCCCATCTCCCATCTCACGGTTTCTCTGGCGGGGGGGAAACATTGCTCGCTCGTTTCTTCGAGATCTTGAGGACATCTTAAAGAAAAGAGAAATTTGCACAAAAAGCCCGGAGAAAACTTCCGCACTGGGTGTTGTTGTAGTGTACTCATAGTAGTGTAGAGGGATTGTCACTTTTTGGTTCCACCCACATTCGTACATCCGTGGTTTGCGCCAACATACGCACGCCTGGCCAGCATGGCATGTCTGGCACTCTGGCAGGTTTGGTAGGGCAAAGACAAGGACATCGTCGACATGGCATGGCATGCTACGGTAGGTACCTACGCACGATGCCTCCTGCCCTGCCCTGTTCTGCCCTGTCTGCGTGGCTTTCAAGGGTTTTAAGTGCATGCATACTCATCTTGAAAAGGTTCTCGGTTCGATGTCGCCTACAAAATGGAAGTTGGGGGTTTTGATGGTGCTGCTTGGATGTGTCTGTCGTTTTCTCGTTGAAATGCCCAAACACAGTACAACATGCCAACCCCCATACGGTATTCCCTTTTTTCTTTCGTCTCATCGTCGGCTTCCATCTTCTCTCCGGGAAGCGACGAAAGATGGAGCCTCCATTCACAGTGCGTAACCTCCGCTGTGGAGAAATCCCGAAGCGCGGCGGCTATGCACTCTCTCAGCACTGCACTGTACAGTTCACTTGTGCAATACCGTTTCATGTTCAATGGTTTTGTTACGAGTACAAAGCTACGTACAGATGTGGAGATGCGAGATTTTTTATGTTTTCACAATTTAATGCTTTGTGGGAGTCTGGACCTGTCGCTGCGGCGGGCACTGCCCAAAGCGAAAACCGGTTTTCTGACGGTCGTTCATTTCCCCATTCCTGGCGAAAAGCATTTCGGCCATTTTGCGGCTTTCTGTGATTGGCCTGTTTTTTCGTTTTCCGGCTCCAGCTTCTTTCATGTTTCTAAATTTGTTCTTTTCAATCTCATAGGGCAGAATTTCACGAATTGGCGATGCCGGTTCCGTGATGTTTGTTGGCCGGTCTCCCCGTGGCCGATGACGAAGGCGAGACCGGGCTGGCGGGGCGGAGCGGATCGGATCTGTCCACTTCCCCAGGTTTCCTCCCGCAAATGTGCCATGCGAATGCGGATGCCGCCCAAACCTTCGTCGGGGCGGCGTCCGTGCTACACCATACGGCCGTCCCGTCTCCGGGTTACCGGGTTTAGGTTCCGGTGCGGAACTCTAACTAGAGGGCTTCTTTGTTCATCCGTCGTCGAGACAGAAAATATGCACCTTCACTATTAACGTATTCTCCGTCAGGGCCTTGACCGCAGACGTGAGGAATCTGCCGTCTTTCCGCATCTATGATACTCTTAGCACCATCGACTTCAGGTACCCCGACTTACCCTCAGTTGTCCCGTACTGCTTGCCGATACTGCCTTATCTGGCCGCGCTCCCGACTGAGGAATTCTCGAGTCGATTCGATACCAAATGTGCCCATGTGTCAGGGGACAAGATCTGTGCTCGAGATTCGAGTGTTCCGTACGCTTTCCCAATGTTTGATATTTGATGCTTCGGAGACGACCGACGAGAACGATCCCAGCGGCAGGTAAAACCCTCCCTCGTCCGTAGGTAGCACCATGGAAACTTGGAAGCAACAAGAACGCATGTCGGACGTCTTCCTTTTGGCTTTGTCCTGCCGTAACTTGGAGGCGTTTGGTTACCAAGGGAGGTTGACTGTTTCCAGCGTGTTCCCACCCTCGCTCCGAAGACACGGTGCGCCCGATGGCCTGAGAGGAGTACGAGATGCTGAATCCCTGTAAGACTATGGGATGATCCTAAGCTCGAGCTCACTCTCCACGGATAAAGAAGCTGGAGTGAAGCCAGCTAGCTCCGGTCGGTGCACCTTTGTCCTCGGGTACTTCGGATGCTTGAACGCACGACTGATACCTCTCCGGCCCCCGAAAGTGCTGGAAGAGGTATGACCGTGACTGAGTGCCGCAGCCTGCCAATGTCTGGGCTATAGTGGCCCTCGATCAGACCGAGCCGGTCGCCGGCAGTTCCTCCGACTTGATGCCTGGCAATCGGATATTGGCATTTTGCTGGTTCGCAAGTCATCTCCGTTCCGCCGTTTTATCGGGAACTCGAGTGGGTCCCGATCCGGAGGCTAGGTTGAAATCGGATCGGAGCCTCGACGATGATGATCGGATGGTTCCGCGGACCCCGACGAACATCTCTCCCGAAATTCGCATGTCATATGCAATGCAATGCACTGCCACTGCTCCAAAAATCTCAGCTCTGATGCTCCCAAATGCAAAAGTCAGTCATCTTTCCGGTCATTCCTTCAAATTCCTCATGCCGTCTTTGACTTGCATCATCTCTTTTCCCTCTGTCGTCAGATGTTGGATTTGAGGGAATCCACTGCTCTGACGTTGACAGAATGAGAGAGATGGCAATGCTTTTTGTTCCTGGTAGGGCTGTGTTTGGGTTGCTGACAGGGCAGGAACATAGGAAAGCTATGACGTCGGTGTCAATAAGGTTGACAGGGACAGACTGTCGTGAACTGACAAGTCTGGCGTTGAAGGGATGATGCCCCTGGAATAATCTGTTGGATGGAGTTTCATCGGCCTGACTCGGAATCAGATAGTCTCCAGGCACGACTCCTCTGAATATCGTCACTGCAGAACTGACTTGGCCAAGGCTCAGGAAGTCGAACTTGCTTGTTGTTATTGCTGGTGGATAAGGGGACTATCACCTCAGCTTGGATGCCAATATGGATCCACTTCTGTCTGCGTTTGGCAGGAACAACGTCAGCGCTCCCGTTGGTGTCTTGGGGAATGGATGAACGTGTGGATGCGGCTATGACTGGAATTATGATGCCCTCGGTTGGTCAACTGAAGAACTATGCCTAGATGAGCCGCACGAAGGTATAGAGGAGTGTTAGGTAGGCACAGATAGGTGATATTTCCGAGGGGAGAAGTACGATGGAAGGACCGTGAGAGCAGCGATTATGGTGTACAAACCAGCAACCATACAAATCGACCTAATTGCATTTCAAGCTTTCAAAACAAGCCGATCTTATCCCTTTGTCCCTCAGAGATTTGCACGTGTAAAAACGGGGCTCCAGAACTGGCAAGAGAGGTCCTGGTCGTTGTTGTCGCAAACATCACGATCATCCGTTGTCCCGTTGGCCAAAGAGGTGTAATGACGTCATGGTAATCCGCGAACTGCCATCTCCGTACCTGCTTCAAGGCAGCTACTACCGAGTGCCCCTCATCATCCTGTAGCTATTGCTTCCTTCATAAAAGCTTCGTGTCTCTCTGCTATCTCGGCCTATCTTCTCTCTATTATCAGACACTGCAGCATAAAACAGATACCCCCCACTACATCCAATCCAACCAATCAATCAATCGACAAGACCAATTCCTCTTCTCGACTTACACACATCAACCACAACAACTCAAACACAAACAACCACAAACCACATCATTCAAAATGTTCGCCCGCATCTCCACCGCTTCCGCTCTCACTGCCCGCCAGACCTTCGTCGCCGCTTCCGCGCGCAGGACCATTGCTTCCACTGCCAGCCTCAAGCTCAAGGAGTCTTCTTCCAGTACGTTCACCTTCCACAACTTCTACTCCTCACACACAGAATACTAACCCAGCCCACCAACAGCCGACCCTGATCCCCAGGCCTTCGAGAACCACAAGCAGGAGTCCCTCAGGAAGCAGAAGGAGGGCAAGGGCCACTGGAAGCCCGAGCTCGCCTCCAACAGCGAGGAGAACGTCAAGGCCGACCGCATGTCGGATGCCGAGTTCGAGGAGGCCAGCAAGCGTCAGCTTAAGGACCGTGTCGCTGAGGCCAAGGGTACCAAGAAGGAGGCCGAGTAAAGGGATTCGATTCGAAACATGAGACGCGGTATATGATGATGCCATGAGGTTTTCCTTTTTCCGGTTTATTTTTCTTTTGTTCACTTGTTGCGAAGCAACTCTTGCATTTTCAGCCATCATGGGAGGAAGGATGAGAGAATCACACTACACAAACTGCATTAGTGTTTGATTAGGCATGGGATTCTCTAGGGATAGACACTGACGGGCCATCTTTGCATGCATGGATATGATGGGCCCTGTGTCATCAAATTGAAGAGGATTGAAACTGCACCATCGTTCTTGGAAGACGTACTTGTGGAGGAGTGAATGTGTGGGATGATAGAGTGATGGTTTCATGGAGTTTGAATTCCACGAGGCAGTCCTCTGTCTGCTTTCATCTCCGACAAAGCTCGCTGTAAGTGTCTCCATACCGTCGGATTCACGAAGTACCTTTCGTTGATCTTGATCTGAAATAAGTCACTGATGAAAATAGACCACCGACGATGTTATGTTTTAGAGTTTTGGAGGAACTTGGAGCAGATGCCATTCACTCACCCCAACCGAGAAACCATAGGCAACACGAGTAACTCCAGCAATTTCAAGTGAATGGCTTTCTTTCCATCTGGACATTCAGTTCAAACGTCTACTGTTTGCACTCGTTTTTCTGGTGACGGCTTTCGACCGAGTGACGATGCCCTACGTGGAATTGACCTGCGATGATTTTGGAAATATGGGATGAAAGGGGGCAGGCCACCATCAACAAACGTTCGAGATGGCAACCACCTTCGATATTCTCACGTACCTCAACGGTCCTGGATTGGAGAGGTATAAAGGTTCGCTAACTTTCGGATCCTTTCAACCTTCCACATTTCCCCTTACACTCTTTCTTCCTGGGGTGCGGATAATCCCAACCGACTGCAAGACTGAGACGTTTCCCTTCCTTGACACTCAGTCAATTCAGGCCTTTCACTAACCTTCTTCCCATCCTTTCTCGCCTTGGTGAACCTTTCGCAGCTCACCCATCATACTCTTTCATACGCAACCGAAGATATCCTGACTCACTCACTATTAACTTGACCATCCATCACCATGCCGCCTTCCAGCGACGACGAGCAGCTTCCGCTCAGCGGACGTCGTCCATACGCCTTCGACCACAACCGCGCCGAATCTCGCCGGAGAGCGACATTCGGCAGAGCCCCAGGAAAAACCGGTACCTCCAAGACGAACGAGCCCCCAACTCGGCCTGAGATCATCCCCATTCAACGTGGCGGCCCTGAGCCATCAGCTTCAACTTCAGGTTTATCGCCCTCATCATCATCCCCTGCATTCTCAACCACTGCTGCCACGGCCACTGCTAATACTTCGTCTACCACCACTGGTACTTCGGCCAGTAACCACGAAAAGAGCTTCAAGGAACAGCAACGTCGGAGACTCCTGTATCTCCAGGAGACCAGGCAGAAGAACCAGTCGGGCCAACAACAGCTGCCAAAGCGGCAAACGCAGACACTCGGAGGTACATATACCGGCCCGGCCCACCCGCTCTCAAAGTCATTCACTGCAAATGCCAAGGACCGCGAAGTGCCCTGCCTAGACCTGGACACTCCTCCCCCTCCGTCTCATGTTCCGTCGTCCCCCCATTTGGAAGAGACCGCACAGACTGCTGCTAGTATTTTACAGCAGCAGGTACTGCAGGAGCACCAACAATCCCAGCAACAGGCTCAACAGCAGGCTCAACAGCAGGCTCAACAATTGCAGCAACAGCATCAGCAGGAGCAGGAGCACCAGCAACAACGCCAGTCTCAGCAAGCCCAGCAAACCCAGGAAGCTCAGCAGTCCCAACAGGTTGAGCATTCGCAGGCGCAGTCGCAGCAGCCTCAGGATAACAACGAGATCGCAATCAGGGAGGAGAGTCTTGAGGTCCTTGAGAGTTTGAGCTCCATCACTTCTGTCGACAACTTGAACAGAGACAACACCGGCGGCAGCGCCTTTGGCCGTAGCGACAGGGACATCCTGGGTAACAACAACAGCAACTCGAGCGACAGCGCCAACGGCAATAACCGCACCAAGAGACGCGCAGAGGCTGACTTGGAGAGACCTACCTCTCGCCGACTAATTTCCTTTGGAAATATTACGGCGGGACACATGTCTGGCTCTGGACAAATGTCTGGATCTGGAAACATGTCTGGCTCCATCTTTGGTCCGTATGCTCCGGTTCCGAGCGCTTCAACTCCTCAGACGCCCACGCATCCTGCTTCTTTTGAGATCAGAGAGGGATCAGGTAGTGGCAGCGGTGGTGGAAGTGGTGATAGCCAGTTTGCGCCGTTCAGCCGTGGAGCATCTCCCATGCCCCAGCAGGTCCCGTTTGCCCAACCTCGCACCCCCAGTGCTGTTACCATGGGGGCCGCTCCTCAGCGTGGACAAGCAGCTCTGGAGAGGGGAGACAGAGCCGGAAGCGTGGCTTCTGTGACTTCCGTTTCGAGCATTACCTCGCGCAATGGACCGCCTATCGTCAACCCCAGTTTGCCCAACTTGCCTCCTGATGGGTTAGTAGTATCCCTCATTCCCTTCCATCATCAACCAGAGCAAGAGATCGGAATACTGACCGTTTCTTCCACAGAACCAACTGGCTCACAGGCCGCATCGTCGTTGTCAGCGTCGGCGCCGAGCGCCGCAAGTGGAACGTTCACGAGCAACTCTTGTCGTACAACTCACCCTACTTCAAGCGTCTTTTCAACCCCGAGCCCGACCTCCTTGAAGGCTCCTCTTCGTCCTCCCACGGTAACCACAACCACAACCAAAGCCCTGCCACCGCGCACGCGGGCGAAGGAGGACTCATCGAAGAAGTCCACCTCCCCACCACCGAGCCCAAGCTCTTTGCCCTTCTGATCCGCTGGCTCTACGGAACCGCCTTCGCCACCTCCGGCGGGGCAGAAAGTCTTCAAATCCCCCCTCCCCAGCTCAACCAGGTTACGGTCCGCGACTATCTGGGCCTGTACATCCTCGGCCAAACCGTCCAGCTCCCCGGCCTACGCAACGCCTGCATCGACGTCCTCTACAACTACTACGCCACCGAAACCGAGGAGGTGCGCGTCCCCGATCTTCACGACGTGCGGTTCATCTTCGAGAACACCGCCCAGTCCCCCGATTCCCAGATGAGGCGTCTGCTGGTGGCTCATTGCATGTTCCATCTCTTCGGCGCCAAGAGGAGGGGCCCCCTCCCGCCCGACTGGCAGGAGGTCATGGAGCCTAGGTGCGACTTGTCGTACGAGATGTTCAAGATGTTGGCGGACTGGAAGTGGGTAATTGGCGAGAACGTGCCGACTATGAAGATCAAAGCCAGACAGGCGTTCCATGAGAAGCCCAGGCCGGAGGAGCTGTTGCCTTGGCATAAGGCGCAGACGGCGGAGGAGGCGGGGATGCCGCTTGTTGGGGTGGTCAAGGCTGAGCCGATTGATGATAGTGACTAGAGTGAATGGAAGGGGAAGAACGAGGGGAGATAGTGCGTCCAGGCTTGTTCTGACGGGAGGGTTTGGCCTGCTGGCAGGGAGAGAAAGAAAAACGACGGACTCAAAGAGAGAAATTTGACAAGACGTCTGGTGGCTTAGTGACAAAAGAAGATTGATGGAGAAAGGCGACAGGTCGTGCTTTCTTGACAGGCAGAAGATGGCCTTTCAAGCAAGCTTTGAAGTTGAAGGAGGAAAGAGCGACGCCCTAATATATGAAGCTGTCACGCTCATACCTTAACTGAAAGAGCTTCATTCCGAGACGGGCAGCTTTGGAGTTGAAAGGGGCAAGAGCGATGGTCATGCATATGAAGCTCCCACACTCTTACCCTTTTTGCATGGCTTCATTATCCACAGACTGGCATAAGTTCCGGTTGCTGAATTCGTTCTTGTCCCCGTTTCCACTCTAAAGATTGAAGTGGGAGCATGGGGCAGTTGAGGTGATTCGGGATCCGGAATAGGACACAGATCGCACAGCAGTTTGCAAGACTTGATCGTTTTAGCTATTTACCCGTAGCACCACCACAGTAAAAGGATTCAGTTCATGATAGTACCTTCGCCAGTTCCCTTGATGGAAGACCCCGCATGCAAACCATATGTCGCTTGTCACCCCTCGCATTACCAATCGGTAGAAACCACGATAACGCACGCCCGAGGTAGGTGGTACAGATACGCAAGTACCTTACCATTTGACCCGTTCCCTACTGTACGTACAACATACAACAATTAGGCCCATGGAAAGAACATATAACAAGAGAGTATCCGCAGAGAAAAGAACAGAACAAACCTGGATGAGAGCAAGAAAGACATTGATCCGATCACAAATACAATAGCATGACTACTAACCATAACTCAAAAAATGACGACGACTACTAGCCCACCAACCGCCCCCAAAAAGGAATTTCCCAAAACCATCAGCACTGTGGAACTTCACCCGACATTTGGAGCAGAGATCCTCGGCGTCAAGTGGGGAGACGACGGGACTGTTAGTGAGGAACAGCCCAAAGAGCTTAGAGATGCTGTACACAAGGTAGTATTAATCGTCTTCCTCCCTCCCATCCGTCTCCCAAAGAACGCCCGCCCGCACCTAAGGTAACTAACACCCCTTTCACTCTTTTCCCTCCAAAAAGTACGGCTTCATCGTCCTCCGCCGCAACCCTCTAACCGACGCCACCCATGTCTCCTTCTCCCGCCTCTTCGCTTCCGCTTTCCCCTCCCTCTCCGCCTCCGCCTCCGGTCCAGACGGCGACAGTAGTCCAGGGCAAGGAGAAAATGTCCTCGACTCCATAACCCGCTTCATCCCCCCCCCTCCCGCGCCCGCCATATCCGCTACTACCCTTACCTCGAGCTCTTCGATGCCAGTAACCTCACCGACGACGGCGCCGCTATTCTGGACCCTTCGACTGTACGTGCCGCCTTCATGAAAGCCAATTTGCTGTGGCATTTTGATTTGGCCTATAACCCGCGGCGGTCGTCGTATTCGTTGTTGAGGGCTGTGGAACTGCCTCCAGTCACCCCGGGAATGGATGAGATTGGGGGGGGAGAACACGGAGTTTGCAGACTCCAGAACGGCACGGGAGGATCTTGGGGAGGAGGAAGTCAAGAGGAGGATGGTGGAGAAGGAATATTGGACGGGGGTGTATAATGCTGCTCATAGTCGCAAGATGGGGGCACCTGACTTTTTCAAGGAGTTGGACGTGGAAGTGGGGCCGATGTTGAGACATAAGGTCGTGCAGGAGCATGTGGAGAGTGGGAGGAAGAACTTGTGTGTGGGAGCGTATTTGTGGCGGTTGGAGGATAAGGAGGGGAACACGGTGCCGGGGTCGAAGGAGATGATCAAGTTTTTGAATGAGCATGTTGCTCAGGACAAGTATGTGACGAGCGTGAGGTGGGAGTAGCCGGGTGATTTGGTGATTTGGGATAATAGGGCTGTGTTGCATCGCGTGGGTGAGTTTAAGGGGGTGGGTAAGTACAGGAGGGATATGAGGAAGACGACGGCGTTTGATACAGGACCGACGGCTTGGGGGCTTAATGGCGAGGGAGCACCGTTGCCTACGCTGGAAAGTATGACGAAGGAGAAGGGGCTGGGGTCGACGGAATCGGGTGTTGCTGAGAGATGAGGATGTGGTCAAAAGTGTAGGTTTTCATTTGGTCATTTCTTTCCGGAGAGACACCTGCCCTTAACTGTATTGCACTTGGTTGACGTTCGCTTTGAGCTTAACATGGCTTGATTATCATTGTTTGTGTGGTCATTTTCACTATGGATATCTAATGCCACTATTAGTCTTGAAGAAATGCGTACACCTATCAGCTTCAGAGGTTATAGCATTGACAAGAAATGACCATTTCTCCCGTAGAAAGAAGATGAGCACGGAATTAGGGGTCATACCGGTCTAAATCTGAAAACAAGACGCGGGTTCTGCTCTGTATTCGCAGCGTCGTTGTCTCGTTGTTTATCAGACATTCATCGAATAAGAGCGATGCGGTCCATGATTCCAGAACCGATACCTCACTTATCCAGCCCGCGCGCCTTGACAAATCTGTTGATCTGCTCCCGAGTGTTCTTGTCGTTGTACTGTTCATGGCATTCATAAAAGGATATCAACTCCTGCGTGCAGTCCACCATTGCCTCAATGTCAATGTTGCTATCAGAGAGCCACGCCGCAAATCGGTGAACCTTTGCCATGCGTGGGTTCTTGGTCCCTTCGGCAGGGCCTTCTCCGGCTGGTGACTGGGGTGGAAGCATAGCCTGCAATCCAGAAGATGACTGGTGGGCGAGACCAGGCACACCCTGGCCACCGTCCAGCCATCATCGCAGCGCGTGCTTGTGCTTGCGCCTGTGCCTGAGCCAACGCTGCCGAAGCAGCTGCCAGTCCCGAGTTCGACGCGGCTGTTCCAGGGAGGCGACCACTGGGATCCTGCCGCAACACCAGAGCCAAGAGAATGGCTGTCAAGGCTATGACATGTGGTGGGTAGAGTAGCGGCAGATCCGTCATGTAGTGGTCGTTGATGACGGACCAGGCAAGGTTGACGTCCTCTTGTGCCAACCCAAGCTCTCCTTGTAAGATTGTGAGGGTACGGTAGGGCGAATGGACGATGAGATGCGAGCTCATTTCCGAAATCAGGTAGAACTCGCACTCTCCTATCCTTGCCACATCGGTCTGGGACTGGAAGTCGGTAGGCCAAAAGGTCCGGGCCTCATTAGCCATGATCCTGATGTGCTGTGGACATTCCTCCATCTTGCAGGCCAGATATAGGGCGGTCACGATAACGTGGTGGGGATTGGTGCGCCGGATCTCGACTTTGGTGTAGAAGCGCTTGATGTAGACTTGGGCGGTGGCCAAGGCCTGTTGTCGAATCTGCAAGCGCTTGCCGATGCGGTTGATTTCTAGAGAGGAATCAAGTATGTATGTTGGCGACTTGTTTCATTGGACAGACGGATGGACTAATAAGGGAGAAACGACGAACGTTGGTTAAAGTAGATGTTCAGATGGCGTAGTTGCGGAAGGGGGAAAGAGGCCACCAAGTTAGGATCTTCAGCCTCCAACTTTGCGCGCATGGCAGCGAGCTCATCTTTGGTAAATAGCCAGTGTTTTCGCTGGGTAGATTCCCAGTAGTTGGCCGCCATGGTGATAGAGTGTCGTCGGTGTGTCTAGCTGTGTCCTTCCCAAGGCGCTGCAGACATGAAAGTCCGCTTGGCCTGTAGGAGATGTCCTGGGTCGCGCGTTATGGCGGTCGGAAGAGTCGGAGTCATATGGAATAGAAGAGGAGGTTTGGGATCCTTTGCGACGTGCCGCTATCCAAGACCTCGGGAAAGCCTTCAGTTCGCTAGGTGCTTCCCGTCGATTTGGTGTTGCTTCAGTTGTTGAATGGGAAGGAACATTACGTGATGGCTTGCGATCGGATGCCCACACCGCGAACGTGTCAGTGATAAGATAAGCTGATAAGATTGGAGATAAGATAGGTAAGTATGATGCACAAGAGCTACGTGACGGTCTCGACCCGGCTTCAAGGCACTTTAAAGGGATCCACATGCGATGACAGGGCTGGCAAATCAGAGAGGCTGCGAAAGAAATGACACTCGATGCTGGAGCCTTGTTGCTTGCAGTGTTTGAAGTGGATGCAGATTGGGTGGAGTCGAGCAGCTGCCAAATGCCGGACAGTACTCGACCGAGTTAACCGCCGAGTCCAAATTGAGTGCAAGTATCACATTCTCTTGACTTTGCCAACACCTCTGAATATGTTTCGGGTGGTTGAGGCCATGAACAGCATTCGGGCCAAACTAATCTGGGTTATCTCGAGACAATCAATGTTGTCGATGTTGCGTTACCCCGACCCAAAAACAAAGGCCAAGATAACAGACAATCCACTATCGAGGTCACACTCACACCATTAAGACCATTCCCAATACTGATCCGCTTTTCCCAAATGTCACGTTCACCACTTTGGCCATTTCCCCTCCATTGTCTGCTACATATTTACAAGTCGCGAGTTTCAAAAGAGAGGACTGATGGATTGAAGGTTGTGGAAAGTGGCAGGAGCAATGCGATGTGCAGAGAATGCTTTTAAGAAAAGGAAGGATCGGAGGACAGTGACACACCGCCCGTCCCATCCAGTGGCTTGGCTCCAATCTCTTTTCACCAAAATGACTTCAATTTTCCCCTTGAAAGTTTGAGATCCCTTTTTGCATCCGCTGCGAATGACTGGGCGCCCCTCAACGCTGCTTCCACTTATGCGACGAGAACAGAATACATCCCCCATTTAGTCAACAATTGCATGGCATTTCGTAACATATTTAAATATCTTCATCTCATGTTATTTCTGAGTACATTGGATTTGGTCATTGACCGTTTCCACTCCCTGCCCTACGTCATACCCAGTCGATTACACCAAACAGTACTAGAACCCATTTAGACTTGGGCAGTATCGTTTTTTGCCATTTCTGACCACTCCCGACCTGGACTATCGGACCCCCCGAGCCTCCTGCGTACCACCCGATAACCTCAGCTGCGAGCCAGCACTGCAAAGCAGAGACCACAGGAACGGGAAAGAATTGAAAGAAACCCACCTACTGCGCTGCGCTGCACCTCACTTGCATTGCTCTGCGCCGTACCTTGCCTGAACTTTATCGTCTCGACGACGACCCTTCTTATCGTGCTGCCGAACTTGCATTGAATCGCTCCCGTCTTCCCGTCGTCTGGTCCCTGCCTTCTCCGCGCCGACCCCTCCCCCGCCGTGCGCAAATATCCGAAACACGACGCCGACCATCTGCGCAGCGCATGCCGCGTCAGATGATGATAACCCGACAGCGGGAATGAAGGTTTCCGATGTGGTCGCAGGGCTCGAAGCCACCATGGAGGAATCGCAAAATCAACGAGACAAGCGCGTCGAGGAACTATGGACCAAGCTAGATCCCCAGCGACATGGCGAGCTCGACTTGAAGGGGCTGCAGAGGGGGTTGAGGAGGATTGATCATCGTGAGCCAATGCCGTTGCCAATGCGAAATCCCTATGCGCATCTTCAGGAATTGCCGTTTATACTGACACCAAAGCGCCCGTCTCCCTGTAGCTATGAAAAATGCCGACAATATGCTCAAGGACATCATCAAGGCCGTGGACACCAGCGGCGACGGCAAGATCCAATACGAAGAGTTCCGCGTCTTCGTCGAGACCGCCGAGCGCCAGCTATGGCTGCTCTTCCGTTCCATCGATCGCGACAAGGATGGCCGGCTGGACAAGAACGAGCTGCGCAGCGCATTCAAAAAGGCCGGCTTGACCGTATCCAACAAGAGGCTATCCGGCTTCTTTGACGAGGTCGACATGGACCACGATGGCTACATCAGCTTCGACGAGTGGCGGTAAGTTACCAATTTCTTTTATACAAGCCCCGAAGAAGAAGAGGAGGAGGAGGACGAAAAGGAAGTGGATCGAAAGTAAACAAACCGACCCACTCGAAGCTGGGGAAGCCGGGGAATCGCCAACTTTTCACCAGTTCCACTCGCCCAATTTAACCCTGTAATGCCAGCTAGCGACCGAGCCAAAGCGATTTCGACTTTGCCCGCATGCTAAAAGGCTGCTTCAGTGTTGTCTGCCCCTAAAGCGCATTGCCGGGTCTTGGGGAGTCGAGTGAATGAGCAGACGGAAAGAGGTCGAGCGAGTGTTTGCTTCGGTCTTACGAGAGACGAGAGAACCTTGAGAACCAATTGGCTGACCTGAACTCTCTGTCTGATGAAAAAGAGACTTTCTCCTGTTTATGCCCACCACCCACGACCACGATCACAGCCACGAACACCACGCCTCTGCACTTGCAGCCGCCTTGTCGTTTTACTCCTCCATAGTGACTGTCAATGCAGAGGGCGACTCGCTCGTCAGCGAAGAGACACTTGAGGGTCTAGGTACGACTAGCTTCCTTCTCAACGCTCTTTTCGGTTCTCTCTTAAAGATTGCCAACCCGGGCGCTACTACTACTCCTACTTCTCAGTCGCCCGCACCAGACTCAAAATCACCACTCTCCTCACCCTCATCTCACTCTCCCGACGGCACCGCCGAGCCTGGTGCTGAGGCAAGCATGGCGTCTTCCAAAGTCGCACCCGTCGGTGCCGCCACCCCTGAGCAAGTGTTAGCAGACAAGGCGGCCAATGGCCAAATTATCAAGCAGATGGAGGGCGCGGGCCAACACGACCTCCGCCAAGAGGATACCAGCCTGGAGGATGAGGAGGTCGGGAAAAGCGGACTGACAGAGTTACTACCCGACGCAGGTTACTTCCTCGCCGGTGCCGTCTCAGGTGGAGTGTCGCGCACTGCTACTGCGCCCCTCGACCGTCTCAAAGTCTTCCTCCTTGTCAACACAAAACCAAAAGCCACCATCGCAGTCGAGGCTGTCAAGAGTGGCCAGCCTCTCAACGCTCTCAAAAATGCGGGTGGCCCCATCTACGAAGCCGTCAAAACGCTATGGCGGGCCGGTGGAATCAAGACCTTTTTTGCAGGTAAATTGAAACTCAAACCCTACGAACCATGCCCGGGTCTCCCGGAGATGCCCGATTCGGTCCTAACAGGCTCATAGGAAACGGGTTGAACGTTGTCAAGATCATGCCAGAATCTGCCATTCGGGTAAATAGCCTCATCCTGCCTTTTGAGAGGCTTCTCAAACTTTCGGTGCTAATGTTCGGCTAGTTCGGCTCCTATGAAGCCTCAAAACGGTTTCTTGCGGCCTACGAGGGCCACGACGACTCGTCACAAATAAGTACAGTGTCAAAATTCGTTGCTGGCGGTATGGGCGGTATGACGGCCCAGTTCTGCGTTTATCCCATCGACACTCTCAAGTTCCGGCTGCAGTGCGAGACCGTCGAAGGGGGCCCCAAGGGAAATGTCCTCCTTATTCGTACGGCCAAGCACATGTGGGCGGACGGCGGTCTTCGTGCAGCATATCGAGGTCTTGGTCTCGGCCTCATCGGCATGTTCCCCTATAGTGCCATCGACATCGGCACTTTCGAGTTTCTCAAAAAGTCGTACAGGCGCGCCAAAGCCAAGTACTACGGCATCCACGAAGACGACGCGGCGCCAGGAAACATTGCCATGGGCGTTCTCGGAGCATCATCGGGAGCACTAGGTGCCACGGTGGTGTATCCGCTCAACGTCCTCCGAACAAGACTGCAGACTCAGGGTACAGCCATGCACCCACCCACCTACACCGGCTTTGTGGATGTTGCAACGAAAACAGTCCGTAACGAGGGCGTTCGTGGTCTCTACAAGGGCTTGACCCCAAATCTGCTCAAAGTAGCACCGGCTCTTAGTATTACCTGGGTCTGCTATGAGAACATGAAGACGGTTCTTGACTTGCACTGATCGGACACTCTGGGGTCAGGCTTGGCAACCTGTTGTTGAACGCCGTGAGCGGTCACCGTTTCAGACCCACGATGCGAATTATGGCAGTGTGGCAGCTGCTCGGAAATGGCCCCAACAGGCACTAGTGGGAGACTCGAAGGAGGCATCGCTACCTTCGCATACATATCTATATGTGTGTGTTTTGGCTCACGTCTCCCCAAGTCACAGCTCGCTTCCTCCTCGCTTGTGGACATACAACCTCGCTCCTAGCCGGCACTTACTGGAGCTTAGCAGAGGACATACCCAGCTGGGATTCAGCCCGTACCCACAACATGTGTCTACGCAGTGTGGCAGCTGCTCAGTCCGGGGGTGTTGCTTTAAGGATGCGGAGAGACGGAGGAGACAAAAAAGCGAAGATATTGGAAGCCAGGAATGTCCTGGATAAAGTGGGTGGCACCCCGAGAGATGAGGAGGAGGAGGAAGAAGAAGAAGACGAAGAAGAAGCGTTACACTAGCAATTGGTTGATTTTGATTTTTTTTGCTGTTGAGAGGTTGGCTATCTTACCAACATATAGCCCTGGCGTTTGGCATAAGAGGACGAGCGATACCATTAGACTTAAAGGGGTAATGTCATTTCAAGTGAAACGAAGGCGAACCCTAAAAAAACATATTAAAAGCAAAGCATGGCGTTGGCGACGGTGTTGAAGGGCTACAGGATTGGGTAGAAATGGGATCAGATGGAGGAACGTACAAAAAAGGAAGTGGAGGAACGGGTTCGTTTGTTGGTCCAGATGCTATAGGTAGCATGGAAGGGAATAAAGTCGACGTCATGTACGTTTCTATATATGCGGCTCATCTTGATGGTCGCATTTCGTCTCTTGATGTTTCTTCGGTAGAATAACATGTGTAGGTAATTCGGCGAAGAGCTCATCCAGCTAGGAGGTAGGGCCTAGTTGGAGACTGACGAAGCTTTTGCCATTCCATTCTAGCCATACTGTGCGCTACGGACCATATACTGTAGTGTAGCAAACTGCCAGAGGCAGACAATGTCCTTTTTGTGGTTTGCACGAGCTCGCCATGAACATCCCATTCGTTCATCAATTGATCTTTTTGAAGCCCCCAGCCTTATAGCGATAGAAATGACAGGGAGTGATGTCAAGAGAGCAAAGCACCCCTTGACGCTATCATTCACAACTTTTGTGAGTTTTTTACCCCGCGCTTATTCGGCATCACACTTTTGTTCAATCGTCAGCCCACTGGGCTTCCCCGTCCCGTTTAGGAAGCTCGTTAACACGCGAGTAATAACAGGCCAATGTTCTTCGACCAACAGCCGAGAATTTCACGCCCAAAGACAATCGAGAGTTCGGTGGGACACCAAAATCAAAAAGTCGCCCTGAGGACTCGTCAGCTTTCGCCCGTTGGGAGTCATAAACTTGCTGCAAAGTTCTTGATATCGAAACCACCCCCATCACCAATGTAACCTCTTTCCTTTTGTCAACCCCTGTCCACTAGGAGGCTCGCGTTTTGTTTCTTTAAATCCGAACCGTTCCAATAGAGTTGACTGTGTTGCGTGCAGTTTACGACTGAGGACAAAGAGACTATACCTTTTTGGCATAGCGGTCGCCTTCACCTTGACATCCCTCTTCAGCCCTTTCTGAGATTCGTAATCTTTTTTGTTTTGACAAAACTCTTTCCTGTACAACTCACCAATCTATACTACCAAACGCGCGTTCTTCTTATTTCTCCTCCCTCGCGGGTTCACACAAGAGTTTGTTTTCCATATGACTTGGCAGGTTACATGCCGTCGTAACTTCAGCTTAACCGACGCCGCCCGTGGTCCATGATTATTGATGGAGCCTCCGACTACCGAGAATAAGCTTAACTCATCTTTCTTGTGCTGTCTAACCCTGGCGGCAGGGCAAAATCGTCTCCGGAATCGTTGACGGTTACGCCCGAGACCTTGACATCGGGTCTACAACTCTCGAAGACGCGAAGAGTTATCGGCCATTATGTCACACCCCTATTCAGACAACCTTTACTCGTACCCAGGCCTGGGCAACGACGAGGATGTCGAGGATGCTGCTGGTTCCCAACATGACCGTGGGCAAACCCAAAATGCATTCATGCCTATCAACGACTTCGTCAATAACACGTCGGAACCTTCGTTCAACTCTCCCTTTTCTGTTCCTCCGTTGGAGGAGGACCCGTCTCTCGACCCATCAGGACCTTCATTTAACTCTCCGTTTTCTCCTCCCGTCCTGGAAGAGGACCCGTCTATCGACCCGTCAATGACCGGCGATAGCAAGGCGAGAGAGGCAGCTCGCTTGTCGGGACGCGACGAAGACATCTACAACGCAGATGTGGGAAACACAACGCATCAATCATCTCGGGTAGATGGCGGCTATCCATCTCTTCCCGTTTCCAGTTCGACATATGCCACGCCATCGGCCCACTCACAACCGCACCAGGCCGCGTACTACCCGCACTTTCCATCACAAGCTGCATCATCCTCATCCCCATATATAGCCCCGACGTCTGGTTCTCCCTACGCAGCCTATCCTCGACACCATCGTCTATCAACATCCGGTCACAGTTCTTCACCTTTCCTCTTTGAGGCTCCTCCCGCCTATACTCCTTCGCCGACCTCGGCTTCGCCAACAAGCCCCCTGAACACCCACGCAGCATCCTCAACAACCTATCAGACCTTTGATCAGGCAACGACACCATCCTCTTCGACCTCGACCGACAGTATGGGTCGTTCAGACGAGTCCACTGGCCTGCTGGGCCGTGGCGGCCCGGAAAGCATGGGCGGCAACCACGGTGATGGACCGGAGAACGTGAAGCCTACAAGGACCCAGCGAGTAAGTAATTGCCTGCCCTCCAGGGAAACCATCAGGAGGCTTCTGCTGTCGTTGATTGTTACGGTCATCCTGTGGAGTATCATTAGCCCTTCGTCCAATGTAAGTTGGCCTACCTATGTCATGCCAATGACACGTCTTTCGATGCTCAAGTAGGGGGATGCTGTGCCACGTTGGACAACAATCCCACGTTGCATATTCCTCGCATGCTTTTACCACTCTGTTGGACAGTTGCTAACTCGTGTCCCCAGTCCGGCAACAATAACAATCCATCAAGCCCCTCTCGCCCCGGAAATGGCGGCGGCAACGGACGAGGAGGAGATTCTTCACCATCACGACCGCCCGTCATGCAATACCCCGACATTGACAACGAAGCCAACTGGTTCTCGCGCTACCGCTGCCGCGGCGGCCGCACCACCACTCGGCCGACCGAGACCTTCGATGTCTCCTTCTCCTCCAGCAAGCACCTGACCATCAACCAAGAGCGTTTTGAGGAAGACACGCACCACTACGACACGTACGTTTCAATCCAAGGCGAAGTGATCGTCCGTCGTTCCAGTAAAGACACCCCCGACCCATCCATCACCATCGACGTCACCGCCAACGACGAGCGCATCCTCTCCAAGATCGAAACGCACTGGAACCCGAACGACCAGTCCCTCACCATCAAGACGCCCGACGGCCTCAACACCGGCCAGCGTAACCTCCAGCTATGTGCCACAGTCAAAGCCACCGTCTGGGTGCCCGAGGACGCGGAGCTCAATTACCTCCAGATCGCCACCATCCACCTGGGCGTACAACTACTCGATAACTTGTCCTTAACCGTCAAGACGCTTGCCCGGCTCGATGCCATAGCGGGTAACATCATCTCTGCTTCCTCGGGCGGCAAGAACAAGGACGTCGCCCTTGTCCATAACCAAAGAGAGAAAACCCCGAGCCAACCGCGCGACACATCCCCAGATACCTACGCCTTCCACCCCCGCCGCCTAGAAGGCTGCACCACCTCCGGGCAAATCTACGGCGTCTGGCCTTTGTTCGACTCGTTGATCCTCAAGTCCACATCAGGTGATATCAGAATCGGCATCGAACCGCACGACCCCTGGGACTCTGATTCTTCTTCTGAAAAAGCAGAGCTAGCCATCCGCTCCACCTCGGGCGCCGTGGACTTCCGCACACATGGCGTCGCCGGCAAATCGCCCTCGGTGCCAAACAGGAATTACGTACTAGACGTGCACACGACCAGTGGTAACGTCCATGGTCTTGCACCCTTTTCTTCCTCGGCAACAGTGAATTCAACCAGCGGGACACTTAAACTTGGCCTGCTTCCTGTTCTTAAGGGTGGTGAAGTTACTAAGCCATTGGAAGTCTCGACCTCGTCTACTTCGGGGACTACTTCCATTACAATTTTCGACCCTCTGTATATCTCCTCCAGTGCCATCTCCAGAACACCAGCGCTCCGCAACATCCACAACCAACACACTTCCACCTCTGGCCATTTTACCTCTACCTGCCCGTCTCATGGGAGGGCGAGATCGTCATGAACACGCTTAGCGGCAAGTTGGGCGTCAGCGGGAAGGATGTCAAGCTGATTAAGAGCGGGGAGCAGTGGCCTGGTTTCAACAAGGAGATAGTAGCTAGGAAGGGGGATGTGGGAGGGGTTAAGGGGGAGGGAAGTCGGGTTAAGGTGGCGTTGACGAGTGGGAGTGGGGAGGTTAGGGTTGGGTAGATTGAGGGGAGGTTTGGAAGAACGTTGATGCTTGGGGGGGGGGGGGGGGT